ACCTTTAGACATGGAGGTTTTCAAGGTAGAAGTGTTGAAAGAAGGAGCACCATAGAAGTGGAGGTGTCGAGCCAACGACGTTAAAAAAAGGCGCTAATTGGGAGGCAACCCAATTTTACTGCTTTATTTCCTTTCTAGTTTGATTTTCATTCAGTTTAGTTGTCTTTGAATTAATGAATTTTCCTTCCAGGGTTTGATCATTGGAGTTTTTCCCCAAATGCACGAAGGCACCCGCCAACAACACACACCATGTATTGGGCACACGTCTACATACTCAGTGGAGTTTTTCTTGTTCCCTTCATTTTGATTATAGACTGTGCAATTGAATGCAAATATTGATGACAATATATGGTTTAAGTTTGGGGATGCGTTAGAAATTAGTGTGGAGATACAAAGGTGAAAAAGGGGCTTTTCTCCGATTTTTTGATTAGTTCTTGGGCAAACACTTAGGCGGCGTTTGTTTCTTAAGAGGTGTTGAAGTCTGAAGTCTGAATTCACTTCTGATTTTTTAAGAGGTTTTGCTGAAGTTTGAAATCTGAATCAGTCAGACTTTTGTTTTTTGCGTCTGAAATCTGAAGTTTGAAGATGAGAGATCGAGAGTTGATATGGATCGACAGTTGACAAAGTTGAGAGATGAGAGATCGAGACAGAAGAGTTGATCTAGAGAAATCGAGAGCAAAGAGATCAGAGTAGGTAGGCGACAATTTGAAATAAGAGGTAATAAGAGGTTTCGCAACCACTTAAATWTTCAGACCTAATAAGAGCTTTTAAGCTCTTAATTGAAGAAAAAAAAACAAACACACTGAATCCTATTATGTCTGACCGATTTAGACTTAAGAGGATATTAAGAGCTTTTTTATTAAAAACAAACAGCCCCTTAGTAAGAGTTGCATGAGTTGAGATATATTCCTGCATATAATGCCATGAAAACCATAGCATGATTGATTTTGTGACTTAATTGATTAGTTGAGATTAACACATTTCAGATGACATGTGAACATTGCTAATTTTATGGACTAAAAATGTACCTGTGAGTTTTTTTTTTTAGCCACAATCGAACATTGTATTCGATCCTAATTCTTTTCTATCTGCATTGCATCTTTTGCGCTCATTTCACTCTAGAACTTGAGCTAGGTCTCTTCAAGATTGCACTTACGCAATACTAGTGTGTGGAAATGATAGAAGGCCATCATTGATGTTTTCTTTTAACCATTTAGCCTAAAGCAAACCCTTAAGTGTTTTCCTTTTTGGTCACCTCTTTTGAGCCTAATTACCCATTTTCTTGACTTTTACACCAAGTATATACCCCTTAGCCAAACACTTTCCTCACCGGACTTTGAAATGAGACTACAAGCTTTTAGTTAGATAGACTTGTTGTACGTTCTGTATACCATATACCCGATCCACAATGCCTATATGATGATCGATAGAGATTCGAAAGAAAAAAAAACCAATATATTCCATGTATAGAAGTGAAAAAAAAGAAAAAAAAAAGAAAAAAAAAAAAAAAAAAAAAAAATATATATATATATATATATATATATATATATATATATATATATATATACACATGAATAAATGGAGACCGAATTCAAAAAAAAAAAATACAATTATCTCCATAGCATTCTTAGCAAATAAGAGCTAGAAAGTTGAGAGATTTTGTGATCGCTTTGATGCGCAAAACACAAAAGTCAAGCATTGAGTTGTAGTTTCCCTTCCAAAGTCCATTTTTAGTCACTTGACCCAAAAGTTTCCCTACCAAATCCCTTAGCCATGTTACAACCCTACTAAAAAGACCTTTTTGATCCATACCTAGGTTGACCATTAGCGATGGAGAATCGAGACCTAATTCAAGCTTATGGTAGTGCATGTGCATGTGAATTGATGCCAAGAGTGAAAACACCTGTGCTTTGTGTGAATGAGCAATTAGAGTAGGTTTATATCCTTTGTGAGGTGTTTGTGAGATTAGCAAGTGTTCATCTTTGGTTGTCTTGTGTGTTGATTGTTATTATGTCGGCTAAGTAGTACCTTCATGAAATGTTATGTACTTTTTGTCGGTTCTCTAAAACTTAACTCTTGACTTTCATCCATGTTAAATGCTTACTGTTTGCCCGAGGACGGTCAATGGTCCAAGTGTGGGGATATTATATGATAAGCTTATATTTAAACATGTTTTTATAATGAATCTAGTACATATTGTAATGTTTATATAGCTTATACAACCCTTTTAATTTAGTTATTGATTGGTCTTTGATAGGTGCAAAAAGGATGGATTTTAATACAAACAGAACATATATTTCGAAATTGTTACAAGGTCGGGCATAGTTTTCTGAAGGAATATGAGGCTGAGCATATTTATGAAATGGGTTCTGGATTGGGCATACGAATTCAAATGGCGTGAAAATGAAGCATATTTTCTCAAATGTTTTTTAAAAACGCCCAACAGCAGCAGTCCAGCAACAACAGCCCAACAGAGGCTGTTTTCTAGTTCGTGAGGAGGAGACGACTTGGGTTCGGGGGGCAATCATGGGAGCAAGGACGTGGGTTTGATTGGGAGATATCGTGGGGTTCGAAGCAGGAGAAGACGTGGGTTCGAAGGATTTAAGAGACGCGAAGGAGACAACGTTTTTTTTTTTGCCTAGTTCGATTGAAGGGAGAGGCGAGAAGGAGAGAAACAGTAGGTGCGATTGAAGGGAGAAGACGGGAGGAAGACAACAATGGTTCGTGGTTTTGGATTGGTGAAGCATTGAAGGAGATTCATCAATTTCAAAATTAGGTTAATATCTCTTCTCAATTTCTTAGTTTGTGTTTTCGATCAGACATGTGTGGCTAATTTCTTTATAAATTCGACCTTGGATTGCTTAGTATTTGCAAGTTCTATTTTTACTAGTTGTTTGAGATGATGTACTACCATTTCACTTTGATTATTCACCCAATTTCTGAACTTAGTAGCTTATAAAATTGAATTTCATGCTTTCTAATCAATTGTGTGGAAATCGATTATGGTCATTTTGTTTCCTGAATCTGTAATTGTTTAGTAAACTAATATTGATGACAAATAACAAATAGGTTTTGTAGAAAATTCCTATCTTTTGTTATGAAATTGGGTGAAACGGAAGATTTAGATTAACCAAGCTCGTGTGTTAATTTATCCAACCCGGGTTCCATAGATTCTTCATGCTAGTATCAATTTGGCTCTTAAGAGCTTATTTGAGGTCAATTGCATATTAAGATATGAGAGGAGAGCTTGTTCCTCTCAAAAGTTATGTATGTTGGAATTGATTGTTAGAGCTCTTTAACAATTAGAACCGGGTTAATCGAAGTATGTGCGGTCGCCTTATACATCGTCAATGATAACAACTCGTGAATAGAGTTGCATTTATAATCCAAAGTCGAGTTTATTTTTATTCCAATCGTCTATAATTACTTTTATTTGCATGTTTAGTCTAATTAATTAAATCTAACGCCCCCCCTTTTGTAATTACTTTTAAGTTGTCGATTTGTATTTGATTTTTCTAGACATAGTACGTTAAACCGAGTTCCTGTGGATTTGACCCGACTTACCGCTATTACAATTTTGGTTGTAATTAGCTTGTAGTTGGAATTTATTATTTGGTGGACTCGGCATCCGTCAAATTTTTGGCGCCGCTACCGGGGACTCGGTGTTTCTAACAGTTTATGCCTAGATCTTCACGTACAGGTACACCTATTCCCATAGACACAGAAATCGAACGGACGGCCAAGCGATTCAGGAAGCTAGCTAGTTTTCGGAAGGCGCAAGGCGAATCTTCAAGTTCACCGGTAATCAACATCTGGAAGGATATTGAATTACCATCCAATTCTGAAAGCGAAGTAGAGGAACTAAAGACTGAATCTTAGGAAGAAGAGGAGGAAAATCCGAAGGTCAACATGGCCGATGAGCAGACTTTACGTCAATTGGCAACCCAAGACGTTGTTCAAACTCCAATTTGTATCAGGTATCCGACAGGTAATCAAAACTTTGTTCTTAAGACTGGCTTGGTCCATCTCTTACCTACATATCACGGGTTAGAGAATGAGGACCCTAATAAGCATTTAAAGCAATTCCATATTGTTTGCTTGAGCATGAAACCGGCCGAGGTTACAGAGGACCTTATAAAGTTAAAGGATTTTCCTTTTTCTTTAAAGGACCGGGCTATTGATTGGTTATACTCGTTACCACCTGATTCGGTAACGACGTGGAACCAAATGGCGAGGCTATTTCTAGACAAATTCTTTCCTGCCTCCCGAGCCGCTAACCTCCGTAGAGAGATTTGTAGCATTAAGCAACGAGATGTTGAAACTTTCCATGAATATTGGGAGAGATTCAAACATCTCTGTGTGCGTTGTCCACAACATGGAATCTCGGAACAATTGCTCTTGGAATACATTTATGAGGGTCTCCTACCTATGGATAGGAAGATGATTGATGCCGCTAGTGGCGGTGCCATGTTCAATAAGACCCCAACCGAGATTAGAGCTCTAATCACTACCATGGCCGAGAATTCCCAACAATTTAGTGTGAGGAATGATATGAGGAGAGAGCCCGCAAAGGCCAATGAGATAAACATCGTCGAGCATTGAGAGTCATTTGTTTGATCTTACTAGCTTGGTCAAACAGCTTGTAGTTGATAAAGAACAGGTGAAAGCTTGCGGCATATGCTTGGCTACGGGCCATCCAACTGATGCATGCCCACAACTTCAAGAGGATGTGTTGGTGACGGCCGAAAACATGAACGCTATAGGAGGTTATCAAGGTCAGCCACAACCACAACAAAGATTCTTCAACAAMAATTTTGGCAACCAAAGACCTCCTCAATTTCAGAATTTTGTGCAAAGGCCGCCACAACAACAGTTTCAGCAAAGAGCACCCTTCAATCTGAATCGAGCTACTTCTAGTAGCCCAGGTATGTCCCTTGAAGACATTGTCAAGAATTTAGCTGCTAATACTCTTCAATTCCAACAAAAAACAGAGGCAAGCATTCAAAATTTGGGAGCTCAAAACTTGCCACCTCCGTGAGCCGGTTGGAATCTCAAGGAAAGTTGCCTTCCCAAACAGAGACGAACCCGAAATAGAATGTAAGTGCAATTGTCTTGAGGAGTGGGAAGGAACTTGAAGAACCAAAGATGGCAAAGAGTAGGGAAATGGAGAAAGAGCAAGAGGTAAGCCCGAAACCGATTCAAGATAAGAAACAATCGGGATCCACTGACGATATAAGTGAGAAAGCAAAGGTAATTCCACCTCCCTTTCCTACGCATTTTCAAATGTCTAACAAAGCTAGAGAGGAAAAGGAAACCCTAGAAACTTTTAGGAAGGTCGAGGTAAATATCCCTCTTTTAGACGCAATCAAGCAAGTCCCTCGTTACGCTAAATTTTTGAAAGAATTGTGCACCAACAAAAGAAAACTTAGGGGTAACGAGACGATTAATATGAGTGAGAATGTATCTGCCGTGCTTCAAAAGAAGCTACCCCCAAAGTGCAAAGATCCTGGTGTTTTCACCATTCCTTGCAAATTGGGGAATGTTACGATCAATAGGGCTATGCTTGATTTGGGTGCATCTATCAATGTGATGCCATTTTCTATCTTTAAGACTCTAAATGTAGGCCCCTTACAAGAAACCGGGGTGGTCATTCAATTGGCCGATAGGTCCCTTGTACACCCGAAAGGGGTATTAGAGGATTTATCGGTTCAAGTGAATGAACTTGTTTTCCCCGCTGATTTCTATGTCATTGATATGGAGGAGGATTCACATCCAAAATCCACATCCATCTTGTTAGGGAGGCCATTTTTGAAAACTTCAAAAACAAAGATAGATGTTCACAATGGCACACTTTCCATGGAATTTGATGGTAACATCATCCATTTTAATATCTATAAAGCCATGCGTTTTCCAAGTGATGTATCATCTCTATGTACCATTGACATTATTGAACCTATTTCTCAAGAGTTGTTTGAACTAACACATTTTGATGCTTTAGACACCATCTTAAGTAGGTCTTTGAATGAAGCGAGAGTAACCAAACTCATGAAGAAGATTGAGCTCAGTCCCGAGTTTCACGAGCTAGTAGGTTCTATGGATCAAAAGAAGATGTTAAGGTATGATATAGTTGCCATCTAACAAAAAGCTACTTCCTTTTGTTTTGCAGGCACCAGAACTAGAGTTGAAGAAACTTCCTGAGCATCTCAAGTATGCGTATCTAGCAGAAGGAGAGAAGCTACCGGTCATCATTTCAAGTAGATTAGACTCATCCAAGGAAAAGAAGCTTGTTTCCGTGCTAAAACAATTCAAGAAGGCCATTGGGTGGACGATAGCCGACATAAAAGGCTTGAGCCCATCAACTTGCATGCACAAGATTTTGATGGAGGATGACTTCAAGCCATTTCGCGAGGCTCAAAGGAGGTTGAATCCACCCATGATGGAGGTTGTAAAAAAATAGATTCAAAAGTTGCTAGATGCAGGTGTGATATTTGCTATATCCGAAAGCAAATGGGTGAGCCCGATACAGGTTGTTCCAAAGAAGGTCGGGGTGACAGTAGTGGAAAATGCCGAGGGAGTGATGGTTCCAACAAAAGTATAAAGTGGTTGGAGAGTATGCATAGATTACCGATGGTTGAACGCCTCAACCCGCAAAGATCAATTCCCTTTACCTTTTATCGACCAGATGCTCGAGAGACTGGCAGGTAAGTCTCATTATTGTTGTTTAGATGGTTTCTCTGGTTTTTCATCAAATTCCGGTTGCACCGGAAGACCAAGAGAAAACCACGTTTACATGTCCTTTTGGCACTTTTGCCTATCGCCGAATGCCCTTTGGCCTATGCAATGCACCGGCTACTTTTCAGCGGTGTATGATGAGTATTTTTTCTGAGTTTGTGGAAAACATAATTGAAGTTTTTATGGACGGTTTCACCGTTTATGGAAACTCCTTTGATGAATGTTTAGAAAATCTCATTAAAATCCTTCAAAGATGCATAGATACCAACTTGGTTTTAAATTATGAAAAATATCACTTTATGGTAAACCAATGGCTGATTTTAGGACATGTCATCTCGAGTAAAGGTATTGAAGTAGATAGAGCTAAAGTAGATGTTATCAAAAGCTTACCCTACCCCACTTCGGTGAGGGAAGTCCGGTCATTTTTGGGTCATGCAGGTTTCTATAGGCGCTTCATTAAGGATTTCTCGTGCATTACTCGATTGATGTGCAATCTACTTCAAAAGGATGTGGAGTTCAGGTTTGATGAGAAATGCAAGGAAGCTTTTGATAAGCTTAAAGAGATGCTCACATCCGCCCCCATTATGAGACCACCGAATTGGGATCTTCCCTTTGAGATTATGTGTGACGCAAACAACTATGCTATCGGAGCGGTACTCGGGCAAAGGGTTGGAAAGAACCCGCACGTTGTTTATTATGTTTCGAGAACCCCTGATAGCGCACAAGCAAACTACTCCACCACGGAGAAGGAATTGCTTGTGGTTGTCTTCGCATTAGAAAATTTTCGTCAATATCTCTTAGGTACTAAAGTTATAGTTTTTACAGATCATGCGGCGTTGCTATATTTGATGACAAAGAAGGATGCCAAACCAAGGCTCACCCAATGGATTTTGTTGCTACAAGAATTCAACCTGGAGATTAGAGACAAAAGTGGAACAYATAATTTAGTAGCAGATCACTTGAGCCGGATTGTCTCAAATGAAGAGCCGTTACCGTTAGATGACAAGTTCCCGGATGAGCACCTTTTTGAGGTGAAGACCACAGTTCCTTGGTATGCCGACATAGTCAATTATCTAGTTATCGGGACCACACCTAAGGAGCTACCGAGAGTGAAGCGAGACAAGATAAGGAGTGACTCCAAACACTACATGTGGGACAATCCTTATTTATGGAAGCAAGGTTCCGATCAAATCATCTGGCGATGTGTAAGTGACGATGAGGTAACTTCCATTTTAGAATTTTGTCATTCTTATACATGTGAAGGCCATTTTGGCCCGACGAGGACAGCGCGTAAAGTTTTTGAGAGTGGCCTCTTTTGGCCACATATTCATCGAGATGCATATATGTTTTGTAAATCTTGTCCTCATTGCCAACACACCGGAAATCTTAGTAGTAAGGATCAAATGCCTTTGACCCCTATTCATGCTTGCGAGATTTTCGACTTGTGGGGGATTGATTTCATGGGCCCTTACCCATGTTCTTTTGGTTTCTATTACATTTTACTTGCTGTCGATTACGTCTCTAAATGGATAGAGGTGAAAGCGACAAGGACTGACAGTGCAAAAGATGTTTCAGATTTTGTGAAAGATAAGATTTTCTGCAAATTTGGAGTCCCAAAAGTGGTGATAAGCGATAGGGTGCACTCATTTTATCAACAGTGTGATGGCGGCTTTATTCAAAAAGTATGGTGTAAAGCACCGTATATCTACCGCCTACCACCCACAGACAAATGGGCAAACGGAGGGATCGAATCGGGAGATCAAGCAAATTTTGGAAAAAACGGTAAACCCAAGTAGGAAAGATTGGAGTTTAAGGCTCAATAATGCATTATGGGCTTATCGGACCGCCTATAAATCCCCGATAGGTATGTCCCCTTTTCGTTTAGTGTACGAGAAAGCTTGTCATCTTCCTGTTGAGTTGGAACATAAGACCTTTTGGGCCGTAAAAAATGTCAACTTGGACATTGACAAAACCGGTATTCACTGAAAACTCCAACTCCAAGAATTGGAAGAAATACGCAATGATGCGTACGAGAATAGTTCTATATATAAAGAAAAGACCAAAGCTTTTCATGATAAAATGTCTTCTCGTAAGACATTTGTTTTAGGTCAAATGGTCTTACTTTTTCACGNTAGTTCTATATATAAAGAAAAGACCAAAGCTTTTCATGATAAAATGTCTTCTCGTAAGACATTTGTTTTAGGTCAAATGGTCTTACTTTTTCACGCTCGACTCAAGCTATTTCCCGGAAAACTTAGGTCCCGGTGGGTGGGACCGTTTATTGTTGCTAATGTTTTTAATCATGGTGCGATAGAGATAAAAAGTGAGAAAACAGGAAAGGTGTTTAAGGTGAATGGCCATCGTTTAAAGCCATTTTATGAAGGTTTCAAACCTTTAGACATGGAGGTTTTCAAGGTAGAAGTGTTGAAAGAAGGAGCACCATAGAAGTGGAGGTGTCGAGCCAACGACGTTAAAAAAAGGCGCT